GATGCTGCCCTGGGATCGGCGCGATGATCTGACCGTCTTGCTGTGCTTGCGAATGCGCGGGCGATACCCGTGATGGTGCCGCCCGTGCCGGCGCCGGCGACAACGGCGGTCAGGTTGCCGCCGGTTTGCGACCAGATCTCCTCGGCCGTGCCAAACTCGTGCGCGAGGGGGTTGTCGACGTTGGCGTACTGGTCGAGGATGTGCGCGTTGGGGATCTCCTTCTGGAGGCGGCGGGCGACGCCAATGTGCGACTCGGGGGCGTCCCAGGCAGCCTGGGTCGGGGTGCGGATGATGGTGGCACCGAGAGCCTTGAGGACGGACACCTTCTCGGCCGACATCTTCTCGGGCAGGGTGATGATGGTCTTGTAGCCCTTGATGGCGCCGACGAGGGCCAGACCGATGCCCGTGTTGCCGCTCGTGGGCTCGATGAGGGTGTCGCCAGGCTTGATGCGGCCGCTCTTCTCGGCCTCCTCAATCATGCGCAGGGCTATCCTGTCCTTGACACTGCCGCCCGTGTTGAAGAGCTCGACCTTGGCGTAGACCTCGCACTCGAGGCCGAGGCTCTGGGGGATCTTGTTGAGGCGAACGAGGGGCGTGTTGCCGATCAGCTCGGTGGCAGACTGCGCCGTGACGGCGACGCGCGCCGCGGGAACAGCCTTGACGTCAGCCATTTTCGTGTGGGAGATGTCCGAACGTAGTGAGATGTCCGAATGGAGTGACAGATGTTGGGTTTGGGGGGAAAAGTAGAAGACCAGGACCAGAAGTGCAGAGTGTAAGTCGGGTTTGAAGGAAAGGTGGGTTGATGTAAGGGAAGGGTCCAAGGCGGGGCTCAGTCGTCCGTAGCGGGCTCGTAGCGGGCAATGGCGAATCCCGTCACGTCACCTCACGCGGTTCATGCAGACAAGACGCAAATTTTGCTTCAAAGCCGAAAAGCCGCTGGTCTGCGTCTGAGGGTACCCCGCCAAAGCCGCCAGTACCCCGCGGTGCTATGGGGTGCCCGTAGCATCTGCTTGGTCTACCTACCCCTGATGGGCGGATGGCAGATAATGCCAGACCTTGGAAGTATTATTCGATGTCGTG